TGAAATTTATCACCTGAGTAAAATTGGTGAACCCTGTTATCCACCTCAATCCAACTGCAGCCTGGTAACTTCTTCCCTCCACCATCTTTCAACATCTTCCTAACATGTCCCACCTCTTCCCACTTTCCATGTTTGCTGTACAAGTTTGCTAACATCACACCATAACCAACATTGCTTGGATCAATCTCAATAAGTTTTTTAACTGAAAACTCTGCCAAACTGAAATTTCCATGAACCTTGCAACCATTCAGAAAAGAACCCCAAATAACCTCATCAGGTTCAATTTTCATGTCCTTTACTACTCCCATTGCCTCTTCAAATCTCCCAGCACGACAAAGAAGATCTACCACACATCCATAATGTTCGATCTTCAGCTCAATCCCATAAGTTCTTCTCATGGAGTTGAAATAACTCATCCCTTCATCGACCAATCCGGCATGAGTACAAGCATTCAAAAGTCCGACAAAAGTAATCTCATCAGGTCTGGATCCCTGATTTTCCATATCATTGAAGACTGAAATGGCACGCTCACTGAGCCCATGAAGTGCAAGGCAGTTAATCATAGAATTCCATGCCGTCAAGCTTGGTTCAAACAATGTTCGAAAAACAAAACCCGCTTCCATCAAACTTCCACATTTTCCATACATGTCAATGAGAGCGTTCAATACAAAAGAACTAATTCTTATCTGGTTCTTTATAACATAGCCATGGATCCATTTCCCAAGCCGGAGAACACCAAGATGCCCACAAGCTGAAAGCATACATGTCACAGTAGTATCATTCAGCCGGGCATTCTCCTTCTGCATCCTTTGAAATAGAGTCACCGCCTCTGAGAACATCCCATTCTGCGTGCATCCAGCAATCATGGCATTCCAGGATGGGACATCCCGTTCAGGCATTTCCTCAAACAGAGCAATGGCATTCCCCACCCTCCCTACTCGAGCATAACCAGATATCAAAGCCGTCCAAGAAACAACATTTCGGTCAGCCAATTCATCAAATATCTTACGAGCATTATCCAGATCCGAGAACCGAGCATAGGCATCAAGTAGAGAGGTTTGCACCACAGCGAGCCGATCAAAACCCAATTTTGACACATGGGAATGAACGGATTTTGCGAGATGGAAAGCAGACCGATCGGAGCAGGCCTTGAGGACGTGG